AAGATCTTTTGAAACTCTTTGTATCAGCAATTATATTTTAATAAGAAAACAGTCCCTTGAACTATGTGTCCTTTCTCTTTCCAACCATGTAGCTCATGCCTCTCTCTCTGGATTAACATAGCTTTCTTTGATAGTTGTAACAATTGCTTACAAGGAAAACAAACATTAGGAAGACAAGAGACATATTTGATCTATGCTCACATATTTGTGCGCCTACAGATATGGCCCAATATTCAGGATTTTAGTCCTCTCATTTAATGAGCATAACTTTTAAGAGTACCGTTAATACTGGGATATATGCAAGCAACAGGAGTACAGTTTCAGCTGATCACATCTGTCATGTTATGTAATGAAATTTCCTCTTCTTCTAAAGACATTATTATCTGCATCAGCATTAAGCATGTGTAACATTATTACTTGTTATGTTTGTTTTCCAGGGACCCCAGCCAAGACTGGGACTCCCACTGTGGTAAGTGCTGTATAAACATCCACAATCTAAGGAAAGATGTGACCTGAAAAGAGACAAAGGAGAAAACAAAACAAATTTGTTTTGATATAAGACACATCTCCACTGTTTAACTGTTGTAAAAGTTGGTAGATGGCCTATTTGTGCCTCAAGCTGTCATTAATTATCTGACTTCTTTTTGTAGGCAAAACAGCAAAGATGGATTCTGAGCAATGATTTAGATTAAAAAAGGAGATATGTGTATATATTCCTTAGGGAATTCAATGTTGAAGTTGCTTCTGGGCAGGAAGGTCAGAGTCTTCTAGGGCATCTGGGAGCATGATCTGCTGGTAGAACAGGAAAGTAAAGGAGAAGCATGACAAAACTTAAGAGTCAGACACCCAGTGGAGATACTCGTTTGATTTACTGAAACACTGGGGCTCAGGGGAAGATTTAAGGGATAAATTCCAGTGTGTTGTAATTAGAATCGTAGAATGGTTTAGATTGGAAGGGACCCTTAAAGATCACCCAGTCCAGCCCCTCTGCAACACAGAGAGACACCTTCAACTGGATCAGGTTGTTCAGAGCTCTGTCTAATCTGACCTTGAATGTTTCCAGGGATGGAGCATCTATCACCTCAACTGGGAAGATGGGTTAGAAAAATTACTTTGAAATATGATATTTTCACTTGGAGAGGTATTGCACAACACATACAGATTGCTCCCAAAGGAGTGAATAAGAAAAAAGGGCTCACAAGTCCGCTGTCACTGTGTTACTCAGTGCATATCTGGTGAAAGTGAAGACCCAGTGATGCACCCTGCAGCAGCATCAGTGAGTGATAAAGAGTGTTGTATTGAATTTTTTAGCAGTGTCAGATAATATGGAGAGCACTGAGTTTTCTGTTTTCATAAAATAGAATCATAGAATCAGCCAGGTTGGAAGGGACCTCTGAGATCATCAAGTCCAACCCTTGATCCACTACCACTGTGGTTACTAGACCATGGTACTAAGTGCAACACCCAGTCTCATATTAAAAACCTCCAGGGACGGAGAATCAACCACTTCCCTGGGCAGCCCACTCCAATGTCTGATTACCCTCTCTGTAAAGAATTTCTTCCTAATATCTAACCTAAACCTCCCCTGGCACAGCTTAAGACCATGCCCTCTTGTCTTACTGATAGCTGCCTGGGAGGAGACCAACCCCCACCTGGCTACAACCTCCTTTCAGGGAGTTGTAGAGAGTGATGAGGTCTCCCCTGAGCCCCCTCTTCTCCAGGCTGAACAATCCCAGTTCCCTCAGCCGCTCCTCATAGGACTTGTGCTCGAGTCCCTTCACCAGCCTTGTTGCTCTTCTCTGGACCTGCTCCAGCACCTCAATATCCTTCCTGAACTGAGGGGCCCAGAACTGGACACAGCACTCCAGGTGTGGCCTCACCAGCGCTGAATACAGGGGAAGAATCACTTCCCTGGTCCTGCTGGCCACACTGTTCCTGATCCAGGCCAGAATGCCACTGGCCTTCTTGGCCACCTGGGCACACTGCTGGCTCATGTTCAGCTTCCTGTCAATCCAAACTCCCAGGTCCCTCTCTGCCTGGCTGTTCTCCAGCCACTCTGTGCCCAGCCTGTAGCGCTGCAGGGGGTTGTTGTGGCCAAAGTGTAGGACCCGGCACTTGGCCTTGTTGAACCTCATCCCGTTGGAATCGGCCCAACTCTCCAGCCTGTCCAGGTCCCTCTGCAGAGCCCTCCTGCCTTCCAGCTGATCGACACTCCCCCCCAGCTTAGTGTCATCTGCAAATTTGCTGATGATGGACTCAATCCCCTCATCCAGATCATCAATAAAGATATTACACAGAACTGGGCCCTGGGGATGCCACTAGTGACTGGCCACCAAGTGGGTGCAGCACCGTTCACCACCATTCTCTGGGCTCGGCCCTGCAGCCCGTTCCTAACCCAGCAGAGTGCCCCTGTCCAAGCCATGGGCTGCCAGCTTTTCCAGGAGTATGCTGTGGGAGATGGTGTCAAAGGCATTGCTGAAGTCCAGGTGGACCACATCCACAGCCTTCCCGTCTTCCACCATGAGGGTCACCTGATCATAAAAGGAGATCAGGTTGGTCAGACAGGACCTGCCCTTTCTAAACCCGTGCTGACTGGGTCTGATCCCTTGTCCATCCTGTAGGTGCTGTGTGATTGCACTTAGGATGATCTGCTCCATAAAGGATGATCTGCTCCAAAGTTTTGTCTGCTCATAGATGATGATGAGACATCCAAGGGAAAGTGTGCACTAGGTAGGGAGACAAAAAATGGCAAAACCCAGTGATGATAAGAAACATAACCATTGCAATGCTTGAGAGCTCATATTGTATTGAAAGGAAAAATTAAAATTACAGGGAGCTCAACTGCAGATAAGGTCACCAGGTTATTGATACTCTTAAAGATTAATTTTCTTTTTTTTCTAGTAGTCTAAGCACAAGCAAGATAATTAAATCTCGGATGTTATTTTGTTACTTGATTTCAAAACTTTTAAGTGTTTTATGTAGTTAGATTGTGGATATGACAGTGCTTGCACTTCATCAGCTGAAAGAAGGGACTAAAAACTTTAGTGCAGAATTTGGACAGTGTTTGCATGAGTTCTTGTCACTACAATAACTGTATTATCACAAAAAGACAGTGGTTGTTTTGTCAGGGTGACTTGATTTTCAATGCTAACATACTCTGCAAATTAATTTCACTGTTTTCTGATAGCAGCAGACTAGTAAATTTTTTATTTTTTTCCATTTTTCCTTCTGGTTACAAATACATCTCATAGGATCTGCCAAAGTTTAAATGATCATGGTGTTAATAAGTGATTTCTTATTAATGGATGGGTTTTCTTTTCCATTTGTCTATTAATTTCATTTAATGAATTTGTTTTTGTGACTCATTTGTTCATTTGTCTCAGAGGCAGGAGCATTAATAAGGGGAGAAAACAAAATCAGCTTGTTGAGACAGAAATGTGTGGAGTGTCTTTCAGGAAATGTTGAAGAGAGGCTGAGATACCAGCACACCAAATCTCATCAGTTTCTGTTAGTTGTTTCAACTAAAGAAATAACTGAAATACAGAATTTCTAACAGAAGATATTTTCTGTTCATTTTAATATTTAATAAGGACCATAAATCTGAAATATGAAAAGAAGAATTCTGCCGTAAAATCTGCAATATTTCTGAAAAAAAGAGCAGAGATAAAGACAGCTATCAGTGATACAAGAGTTCTGCTACGCCTAAATTACTAATTCTTCCTTTATCTTACCTGTGGCACCTAGCAGAGTTGATAATTGGTGTTCTATATAGAAAATAACCTTTTCTGGAAAAAATTAGAAGTGGTGTTTTCTGTTATTTTAGATGAAGAAGCAAAGAACACTTTTCTGACAGTGATTGTGTGTGAAGAGTCAACAGTATGTTAGAAATGCTAATAAAGAAAAATGTACAAGTGTACTCTATTGGTATCAGTTCATCCTGATATCACTCAGTTACGTTTAGGACTTTAATGTACGGCAATGGAGTTGAAAATACAACTTTTTTTTTATTATTTTTAAACTATTATTTGAAGTATTGTCTGAAATTTTCTAATGAAAATTAGATTTTTAAGGAACTGCCTTCAGTTTTTACAATGCTGAGATTTAACCCCTCTTCAGCCTTGGAGGTTAGTATATAGGATTCATTTGGACTTTCAAAGACCTTTGACATAGTGTCTTATAAAGTTGTAAAAAAGCTACTCACTGAAGTGCCATTGTGGATCACAAATTAAAGACAAATGAAGATGAAAAGATTAATTTTCAACATGACAAATTGTGATCAATTGTTTGTCCTGGATGTCTCTGAGGACAAATCAGAAGTGGCCAAAAATAAAACATGGTTTTGTGAAAAGAATAGTACAGAGAATACAAGTGATGCATTATCTTTCATTGCTGGTCATACTGTGTTTGGCTCTGGTGGCTCTGGTAGCCTCATTTTTATAAATAGGAATTTTAGAAGGTGAGGAGGTGATAAGAGGTAAGAGATAAGCTTTATGAGAGAAGACTCATTTTATTCTTGTGGCTTAGACCTCTAAAACAAGTGAGAGATATTATCTTCTTTTACTTTAGAAAGGAAACAAACAATATGGTAGAAAAACTGTTCTAGAAGCATACCCAGTAATTGATGTTACAGGGAGGATAAATTTGTAGCTCAAATGAAAATCCAGTGTAAGTCATCACTCAATGAAATGGACAAAATCCTTGTCTTCATAAATAGGTCTGTCATAACAGACATGTGAAGCTTTACTCTTTTATTTCCTCCTCAAGGAAGGGGCTCTTTCCAAATCTGATATTGCTGAAACATATTTCAAGGCAGGGTGAACTTCGAGACCATGTTTTCAGAAGAGTTGTGTAATCTGCTTTTAGCTGTAGGTTTTGTCCATCTGAGTGTCCATACAGGGCATTTTGTTTCTCTGAAGCAACTGGCATTGGCCACAGCTGGAGGTGAGATCAATGTTTCTCAGACTCAGCTGTGCTGTTTTTGAGCTCAGCAGGGCTGTGGGTTAGGGAGCTTGTGGTGCCTCACGAGTCAATAGTCAGCAAGGTGTCAATTGTACCTGGCTTGGCATCATCTCAGCTTCTCCAGGACACAGGACCAACTGCAGTGATTGGTTGTACATGTACTGAACAGCCAGTAATTGCAAAATGTATGCCAAGTCCTGGTGGACATGGACAGCAGGGCTGACCTGGTTTTACAGGAGGATCAAAATGTGGGTACAGAACTGGAGAAAAAGATTCATGGTGAGGAGGGAAGGTCAGGGAAAAAAGGGTAGACAGAATTAAATCCAGAGGGACAAGTTTTAGAGAAAGGAGAAAGAGAGCCACAGAACTGCTAGAATTAGCAGTCCTAAGAAAAGCAGCATAAGAAGGCGAGGACAGACAAGCAGAGCATCAGGCACTTCCGTGGTAAGCAATTCACTTTCAGTAAATCCATTGTTTGCTTAAACACTCTCTAATTTCCTGGGACTTGCTGGCTGAGTGCTTTGAACATATTTGCATAAGGTGTGGAGCTGAAACATGACCTAAGTTGTTCAGATATACTTCAAAAATGTTTAAAGCACTCACTCAGTTTGGTCCTAATTGATTCATCAATAATTTGTGGCTCATGCTTAGCTCACTAACAATCAGTAGTTCAAAGTCTAAATTTAAGATGAATTGTTCCTGAGACTGGTTCATGAACTGTTGTACTGTATTTTGTCCGTTACGCAAGAAGCCCCAAGTTCCACCTTTTCTGAACAGAGCCCTCAGCGTCACAAGCCTATTTTCAAAATTACATAGAAATGTCCTTTCTGCTTACCTGCATGGTGTGGCTTTCAGATACCTGTTTATCTTCTAGGTGTGAGTGAATCAAGTGAATAGCTGAATTGGTACGTGCTGGCGCTGAGAAGCATGTCTCACACAACTTATGGTGCTCAAAACCCTCAGATTGCTGCATCGCAATCTCCTTCTGAGCCGGTAAAGAAGGTAAACAGTAGCAGTGTTTAATACGTATGGAGGTCACAGAAGACAATTAGATTGTAATGTAGACTTGTATTGACAACTCAGTCATAACTCTGAAGGAGGGCTTCTTCCTGTTTAGTCTGGTGCCTACGAGCACTTACAATGTATTTCTGATGTTAGTTGGTAGATATATCTGCAGAGGAAGGCCTGTGGTTAAGGAGAGGGACAGACTTCCCGAAGAGCTGATGTGATGACTGGTGAATAGCTGCTCAATGTCTTCTTTTCATTTCTTCAGCACAATGCTGAATCTTCCTATACAAGACTGCAGAACAAGAACCTTCCAGGCCGTCATTGTAAATTAAAAGTTTACTTGTGTAAAAATACAGGAGATTATTAGAATTGACAGAGACCATGGAAATATTTTTACATTTGCATTAAACTTTGTATAATACCTAATTCTCTGAGCAAGAGCTTCATGTCTTTAGTTTGACTTTTTTTATAGGGAAAAAAACCTGAAAGAAATAAATTTTACTGGTATAAAGCCCATAAAAATGCAGGCAGGTGTATTGAGTCCTGCAGTTGAAATAGAGTGATAGCACAAGCTGGTATACCCATGTGTGGAGAAACAGGGAGGGATATAAACTGACTGCCTCATTAAGCACAGCAAGTCCCTTGCGGTGTCTACAGCTCACAAGTGCTTAGTTCACTGCCATAGCAGTGCCAGATCGATTTTATAGCTAGCATGGATTATTTGTGTTATAGAATCATAGCTCTGATTTTAGGGTAAGGCTTCTAGTTTACCAAGACAACTTCTAAGTCACACAATTGCTTTTGGAAATTATTCTGTTTGCATTGATGCCATCCTTCCATATGATCAGCCTCATTTCAGAGTATTGGTTTTTGTGGCTTGATGACCTGCATCCACTCTATTCAAATGTTTTCCTCGTAAATTTTATGCTATATGTTGATACTTTTTGTGTACTAAAATATGCCCTTTTCATTGTTTTCCTCACAGAAACAAAGAATAACTTTGTATTATTTTATGTTATAATAAAGGATGTGAAGAATTTTGAGAGTCTTCTGTATTTCTGCAGAACATTCTGCAGGTCTTGAGAACATTTCGTCAACAGATTGATAAAGCACAGTCTGTTGCTGGTTGTGTGTCCCCATGGATGGGTGTTGGCATCACCAGCAGTTTACTAGTGAGAAACTTCATTTCTTTTCACCTGAGTGAGTTTTCATTTATGAATTTGTACATGAGGAATGTTTTCTGTTGACTGTTGCCTGGCATACCCTACATTGTTATTTCTCCCAGGACATAAATGATGTGAGATGCAAGCCACCAATAACAATTTTAGAAGACAAATAAGTAACAGTAAATAGTTTTCTGGCTGACCAGTAGGTTGGAATCTGTATTTGAATTTGTCAGAGAACTCACAGATCATCATGGCTAGGCTTCGCGAACGAAGATTTGGGAAGGACTCTACCCACGTTTCTTGCAAGCGCGTTGGTGGCTAAAAAGGCCAATACGAGATAGACACGTCCAGTTGCAAAAGACACAGCAGAAAGACTCCTTAGATGGTATATTCTGCAAGGCTCGATTCTTTCTGCGTTGTCTTTTCTCCTCAAGAGTGATCCTGCGTGCTTTCTCAAAAGCATCAGCGGCGTTATAAATGGACTGTCTCCAGGCCTCCCGATTAGAGGCCAGAGTAGACCAGTTATGGTGATCAATATGCCCGAGGCTGAGTTGTTGCTTCAGGGAGTCCTTGTATCTTTTCTTCGGAGCTCCTCTCTTGCGACAGCCAGTGGCAAGTTCACCATAGAGCAGGATCTTAGGGAGGCGGTGGTCCTTCATCCTGGAGACGTGCCCTGCCCATCGCAGTTGCGTTCTCAGTAGCATGGCCTCAATACTTGTGATTGCTGCCTGTTCAAGAACAGATGTATTGGTCACATAATCTGACCAGTGGATGTTTAGGATTGTGCGGAGGCAGCGTTGATGGAAGCGTTCTAGGAGACGCAGGTGGTGGCGGTAGATGACCCATGATTCAGAACCATATAAAAGAGTAGACAGCACTATGGCTCTGTAAACACTGATCTTGGTACTTTTCTTCAAGTGTTTATTACGCCAGACTCTTTTATGGAGCTTTCCAAAGGCACTATATGCCTTTGCTAACCTATTGTCTATCTCCCCGTCGATCTTACCATCTGAGGAGATGAGGCTGCCTAGGTAATTAAACTGTTGGACTGATTTGAGTTCTGATTGGCCGATGGTGATGTGGGGATGATGGAGGACTTCCTGAGGTGCAGGTTGATGGAGAACTTCAGTCTTCTTTAAGCTGACTTCCAGCCCAAAGAGCTCAGCAGCATCTGCAAAGCAGGATGTTAAACGCTGCAGAGCTGCTTCTGTGTGGGCAACAAGGGCGGCGTCATCAGCATAAAGCAGCTCCCGGACAAGATGGTTTAGGGTCTTAGTGTGGGCCTTCAGTCACCTTAGGTTGAATAGGCTTCCATCAGTACGATATCGAATGTAGATACCGTCCTGATCATCGAGGTCTGCCGTGGGCCTTTGGAGCATCATGCTGAAAAAGACTGTGAATAAGGTAGGAGCGAGAACGCAGCCTTGTTTCACGCCATTCTTTATTAGAAAGGGCTCAGAAAGTGTGTTGCCATATCTGACTTGGCCGTGCTGATCCTCATGAAGTGAGATGATCATTTTAAGGAACTTGGGGGGACAACCTAAACGTTCCAAAATCTGCCATAGACCTTTTCTGCTCACAGTATCGAAAGCCTTGGTGAGGTCGACAAAGGTTACATAGAGACCTTTGTTCTGTTCCCTACACTTCTCTTGCAGTTGTCTGAGAACAAATATCATGTCTGTGGTGCTCCTGTTGGCTCTGAAGCCACACTGACTTTCAGGTAGAATTTCTTCTGCTATAGCGGGTATTAGTCTGTTCAGGAGTATTCTTGCCAAGATTTTGCCAGCAATGGAGAGCAGAGTAATACCACAGTAATTTGAGCAGTCTGATTTAGTACCTTTCTTCTTATACAAGGTGATGATGACTGCATCACGAAGGTCTGAAGGTAGTTTGCCTAGTTCCCAACAGCGCACCACAAGCTCATGAAATTTAGCATGGAGTGCAAGGCCCCCATGTTTCCAGACTTCGGGTGGAATTCCATCAACCCCAGCTGCCTTGCCAATTTTCACCTGCTGTATGGCCTTGAGGGTTTCTCCTAAAGTGGGGGCAGTATCCAATTCGAATTTCACCGGTTGTTGTGTGATGGATTGAATTGCTGAGTCTTGTACTACACGGTTGGTACTGAAAAGAGTCTGAAAGTGTTCAGACCATCTATTCAGAATGGAGGTTTTATCTGTCAGAAGCGTTTGACCATCTGCACTGAGTAGTGGGCTTTGGACTTGGTACGTAGGCCCATATGCTGTTTTCAGGGCCTCATAGAATCCTTTGTGATCCCCTGTATCTGCACATAGTTGAGTTTTTGCAGCTAGATCGGTCCACCACTTGTTCTGGATGTCACGGAGTTTCTGCTGAAGCTTGCTGCATGCAAGACGAAAGGCTGTTTTTCTTGCGTGACAGGATGGCAGTGCAAGGTATGCTTGGTGGGCAGTTCTCTTCTTCCTCAACAAGTCCTGGATTTCTTGATTGTTTTCATCAAACCAGTCCTTGTTCTTCTTGAGGGAGAACCCTAAGGATTCTTCAGAGGATTGCAGGATGCAGCTTTTAATATGATACCAAATTGTTTCAGGAGAGGAATCTGCAGGATTTGTGGGATGGTTTTCGAGCCTGGTTTGAAGATTTGTCTGGAATCTTTCTCTTACTGTGGCTGATTGGAGATCGTTAACTTGAAGTCTTCTCCTTGGGATACTGCCCCTTTTGGGTTTGAATTTGAGAATGAAGTTGAGTTTACAGCGCACAAGCCGATGGTCTGTTTGGCATTCTGCGCTGGGCATCACGCAGGTATGGAGGACATCGCGGACATCTCTCTGTCGCACCAAGACATAATCAATGAGGTGCCAATGCTTAGACCTGGGGTGCATCCAGGTTGTCTTCAGACTATTTTTCTGCTGAAAGATAGTGTTAGTTATGGTAAGCTGTTGCTCTGCACAGAATTCTAGCAGAAGTCGACCATTATCATTGCAGTTTCCAACACCATGCTTGCCTAGTATTCCTTTCCAAGCTTCAAAATTCTTACCTACTCTGGCGTTGAAATCACCAAGGATAATGATCTTATCATCTGCGGGCACCTTTTGGGTAAGGCAGCGCAGGTCAGTGTAAAATTTATCTTTTTCAGCAGGGTCAGCTTGGAGAGTTGGGGCATATATACTAAAGATGACAACGTGTTGCTTGTTGTTTAGTGGAAGGCGTAGGGAGATAATGCGGTCAGAGTGACCTGTCGGCAGATTTTCGAGTTTAGGGACAATAGAGTTTTTGATCATGAAACCGACACCTGAGAGATGTTTTTCGGTTCTGGGCTTACCTGACCAAAAGAGTGTGTAACCGGCACCATGTTCTCTGAGGCTGCCTTCCTCGTGAAGGCGAACTTCGCTGAGAGCAGCAATGTCGATGTTGAGACGAGCCAGTTCATGGGCAATTAGGGCAGAACGTCGCTCAGGACGTCCGCTATTCGCAGAATCGAGCATGGTTCTGATGTTCCAACATGCTAGAGTTAATTTGGGTACACCTTTGGAGGCAGGTGCATGCCTTTGTCTTTTGCTCTTTGTGCGACCGCATTGGAAGAAGATGCCCGTTGGTCTGCGGTTAACCAACCGTGTGAAGGTGGAGATGAGCTTTGTTTAGGCCACCTTTTCTAGGCCCCTCTCCGAGTGGAGCAAGCAGTGCTGTCCTTGAAAAGGCTGCTTGGTCGTTCAGGGTGCTGCCCCAAGAGACTCTCATCTCCGTCAGTCTCAAATGACCAATATCCTGAACCGACTGCATGCAGGGTTGAGTCTGCGGCTCCCAGTGCACCTTTCACCTACCGTTTCGACCCTCGCCCGTCGCTGCAGGACT